GGAGTCAGCCTACCTGACTCACCGTTTCGGTGACCGGTGCAAATCACTTCACATCTTGCATCGGCTTCTTCTTCTTCTAGGAAGGGAGATAAGAGCCGGGCTGTGTCCCAGGATTCGATGTGTGTGTAAAGTAGGAGCAGGGTGTGCGTCATCCCCGAGGAGGCCTGATGTGCATCTCAGCTTCTGGCGCCCCACAGCGGGCCTGGGGACCAGAAAGGAGGCAGGGCTGGGTGGGCTGGGGGCTACGTGGCAGGCAGCGCTTCTGCTGACCCCTCTCGGGGCTCGGGGCTGGCCAGGCAGGCTCCAGGGAGCAAGCGCTGATGCAGGACTCAGCCCTGCCCTGGGGGGCTTCCAGGCTGACACCATCACGCTGCTGGCCAGGATGAGGGGGTCTGGACACGCGTGAGTCATAGAGGATCCTCCTGTCAGAGACAGGGAAGTGCATGCCGATCGTGAAAATGCAGGGCCGGGGGACCGGCCGCTGCTGCTCCCACAAAGCAGAGGGGCAGGTGGACCCCTCACCCCGGTGGCCGCTGTGCCTCCCCCAAAGCCCCCGGGACAGGCTGTCCAGTTCTGTGGCCTCAGCACGGCCAGGGCAAGATCAGACTCACTGTCACATGGTGGTTCCCTTTAAACCAGCGACATTCGTCATCACCACGTCATCATCCTAGTCATCATCATGATTTCCTAACATTTATGGGGTGCTTATTATGTGCCAGGCACTGTTTGTTGTAAGTTCTTTGCTTGTACTGAGTTATTCTCCCATCTACTCCAAGAAAGGGGCTGTTCTTTTTAATGCAGTTTTAAGACAGGGAAAATTTTCACTGGATGCCAAGGAAAGACAGCCGCCCGTCCTGTGGGTGAGCAGGAAAGAGGTAAGGACCTGGCGTGGGGGCAGGGAGACTCTCCCTTTAAGCCCTGTGTAATCTTGACAAACCATTCCCCTTTCTGTGCCTCAGTTTACTCATCTGTAAAAGATGAGGCTGGCTTCAGGGACTCTGCGTCTTACTGGCTCTATTCCCTCTGGAATTTTGTCTGGATTGTTCTAGTTGACCACGTTTCAGGGAGGGCAGTTCCTGGCCCCACCCATCTCCTGGGCTGTCTTAAGCATTTGGGTCCAAGGAAGTCTCACTCTGTCTTTGTCTATCTGTCTCTCTCCCTCTCTCTCCCTCCCTCACACACACACACACACACACACACACACACACACACACACACAAAGTTCCCCAGGTCCTTCCCTCACGGCCCCTCCAACACTGGCAGCCTGGCTGTGGGAGGGATGTCTGTTCATTTTAGGAACTGGGTCAGAGAAGGCTTGACTCAGTAGCAGCCAGAGGACCCCCATAGTCTGGGCAACAACTGTCTGAGACTCTCCCCATCCCCCGTTCCCTCTACCCTTACCTCACCGGCTCCCCACCCTTGGGCTCCAGGCCCAGAGAGCAATGGCCTGAAGTTGACCCTCTGACAGTCCTCCTGTGCCCTCCCTAAACCACCCACACTACTGGTTGCTGGGCCTCCCACTCTGTTGGCCCTCCCAGCCCACACCGCAGACACTCTCACTGCTGGGCCCTGGCCCCACGGACCCTCTCTCCTTCTCCCCTCTGTGCTGTGCCCTGTTATGTGCTAACCCTCTTGCCCTTTGCTAACCAAACCTCATCTCCAGTTAAAATTGTTCCTTGGGGTTAAGGAGGCAGCAATCCCCCTCCCCCCAGGCCTCCTCAGCCCATCCCTAGGGTCTTTGCCCAAGATTCCTAGCCCACCCCCCACTCCGGTCACAACACCCTTCCCAATTCCCATGGCAGCCTTGGCAAGGCCTGGAGGCAGGAAGGACAACCAGAGCTGGACACTTCCCACCCCAGATAGGGCTTTTGTGGGGAGCCAGGGACACTCTCCCTGCCGCACCAGCATATTCTCCAGAAGTGTGAAAGCAAAACCATTCAGACTCACTCCCATCAGCCACTGAGCCCCCTGCCCCGGCCTGGTTCTGGGGTTGGGATCCTGCTCAGCCTTTGCCTGCATTCTATGCTTTCCACATCTTTTCAGACCAACTTTTATCTCACTTACTCTTCCCTGGATTCAGGAGGACGTGAATCTATATCCCGACTCTATCAATTACTTGCTTGCTGTGCAACATTTGAGAAGTCACATAATATCTCTGAGCCTAAAATGGAAATGCTGATACCATCCTCAGGAATGTTTGGATGAATGTGGGGGAGTGAGTAATGAATGAGAAAGCACCCAAGTTGGATCTGCTACATCGTAGGGCTCAGAAATATTTGCTCCCCTCCCTTTCTCTTCTTCCTGGCCTGAAGCTCTCCCTGGCCCCACCCTCTTTCATCAGGCAACTCATGGAGCCCTTCTGCACCCCTTTTCTGTGTCTCTAAGGATTGCACTGAGGAGTTGTTTGTTGTTTGAGCTAGATGCTGGGGATAATAAGAGAACAAATGAGTGAGGCCAGCCCCTGCACTCAGGGCTCAGCTAGTCAGATGGGGGAGACATGGCACTCCAAGTCTGACAAGGAGTTTCCTGTGGGGAACACGGTCTGTCCCTTCTTCCCTGACTTCCTTTGAGAAGACCTCCTAGACCCTCCCAGCCTTTGGCCTCCAGTGGACTTGGGAGGGGCAGGAAGTGAGGCGGGGATGGAGGGAATACATTTGCCAAAGCTCTGGGAGGCGGCAGGAGACCGCCTGTAAAGTGAGAGCGTTTCTGTGTGTATTGGAGGAGTGGCCCACTGGCTGACCTCTTGGGTCAGGTCGCTTCCCTGGGGGGTGGGAGTGTGCCTGCAGCAGCACTCCTTGATAATCTGTCTTGGCTCCTTCTCCCCATCCACTCTCGGACTTTCTCTGAACCCCTGAACCTCCCCGGTGGGGGACAGGGTCTGACCCCCATGGGCTGAGTCACCCAGGCTCCTTTGGTCTTTGGCTTCTGACTTGCAGAGGCCTAAGAGTGCGAGTGGTGGGAGGGGAGGAGGGGAGAGCAGTCAGGGTGTTTGCCCCCTCTCCTAGCAGGCCCTGGTTTGGGCAATGCTGTGCTCCTTCCCCAAGGGCACAGCGCCTGTCTGGCTGGCACCTTTCCCAGGGTAGCAACACTGACTGGGTTCTAGTGAGAG